AATTGATATTTTCAAATTTAATTTGCTTATTTAGAAGATATACTTTTAAATTTGCTTTAAAAGAACTTAGTGTTCTCTGGTGCCAGATAGATAGAGAAATATTGTTCCAACATTTAGAAGCCAAGTAACGGAAGCTACCTCTAGCTTAGTAGCCTAAGTAGATACCGATGTTCATAGGCATTCGGAATTTCAGGACACAGTTCTGCCACTGAGGTCTTTTTTTAAGCCTAGTAGATGATAGTATGTGATAATGTTCGGGGAACCACGGTGCAGAAGAATTGTCACTATGTAACAGGACATTACGTCCTGTAAATATTGCGCTTCAAATGTCCTGTCAGGCACGTGGTGTGGTGGTAAAAAGAATATGACCGAATCATCACTAGCATTTTCATTCCTCAAAACATATCTATGGTACACACGGTAGAAAACACAAAATCTTCAGTCTTTTTGTAAATACAGACATTTCAGGTGACCTAAAAGAACATATATACTTATATAGTACATTATATACATTACTATCTACCTTTTTAATCTTACAAGTTAACTAGTATCTCGACTTTGCGTCTTTACTATGCTAGAAATCTATTTTGAAGTACAAACACGAAATTTTCAAACTACCCACATAGAATAAACGATACCTAAGCCTAAAAGACAAACAAACATCGCAACATCTAAAGTTCTAATATTGTTGCTTAGTTGATTGTATACAACAAAATAAAACAAATAACCCGTTAAATATGTTATGTTGTTTTTTGGAACGAAGTTTCTTACGGCAGGCTTGGAGGAGATAGGGATTTTGCTGCGCGACCGAACTGAAAAAAATGTGATAGTAAAAACCGTAAGAAAAAGTCCGTGGAATAAAACCGTTAAATGAGACGTGCGCAGGCGCGACAGTCGTATACACAAGCGAGTAGTGTATAATACCTTTCTCTTTCTCCTTCTTTTTGTAATTATTTCTATTTCTATGTAATTTTATGTTGTCAAACAAAAATAAAGAGACATATTTTGTTATTTTAATTGATAATTTGAATTACGTTTATTTTTTTATTTTACGTAATTTATTATTTCCTAAAATACTGAATTTCCTGTGCTTAAATAAAAACTAATCAGCAAAATTTAAGAGAAAAATCAAGAAAACCTACATAAAATTGAGCACGATTTTTTTTAATACATTATTATTCTATTATATACAGATTATTATCTAAATGAGTGGATGAACTTATGGCTTTTTTGATGTTAACTAGTAAATGAGTAGTCCACGAACTCTTAGATAACATGGGAATACTTCCATCCACCTTGAGGTTTAAGGTTCAAGTTTCAATAAACAGTATATTGGCTATCCTACCTGCCTTATTCGCTAAGAAATAATTATGTTATGTGTATTTGTTTTAAGATTCAAAACACAACCGATGTCCTTGGATTTATTACTAAGCACTCGGAGTTCTGCTATTGTATCAGTTTTTGACTTCGATCTAATGGCTCAAAGTCATCTGAAGGTTGCACGATTTGGTGTCTCTGGGTGTGAGTTGTGGTGCTTTAGGGATGGTGGAAGGACGTGGGAACCCACCACAATTACATCCCAAGAGAGTCATGGACAGAGAAACATTTAAACTGTTTCAAGGCCATGACCACGACCCTCAGTAATGAGGAAACCGACGCAAGGAGGAGGAGGGATGGTGGAAAATTGTTTTATGACGGCTGTCTCACTAGCAGCCGAAAGAGTGTTGGCACCTATCTATACGGACTCCTAGCGTGCACTGCCAATAGTACAACAAAGTTTCGAAATGGTTAAAGGTGAAAAATATTTTAAATTAGACACAATACGGATTTAATATGAGAATTTTCGTCCACGAAACCCGACGACTGGCGCGGATTATGTTGCATTTTTCTCGCTACAAAATTACCAGTTGTTCCAAAGTTGCTAGCAACTTAAGCTTTGCACTAAAACTTGGTGTATGAGAGATGGCGTTTTTTGTAAACAAAAAATGAAATATGGGGTGGCTTGACTAGGTATTGTTAATGTGCGTATCTAAGAACTCGCGCATTTTATTAATTAAGCTACGAATATCGCATGAAAAAAAATGAAAACACTGAATGCTTACATTCATTTTTAAACGTTTCACATTTAGTGCGGGAAATATTGAGTTTTAAGATAGTATGATCCAATATTTAAGAAAATCATGTGACTGCGGCTAATATGGTAGACAGTTGCTAGCATTGCACCGACAAAATTACACACTTTTTCTTACCATCGCTATCAAATCACTAAAAAAATGTAAGAATAGCAACTATCAAGTTTTCTTTTTGTTTTTATGTCAGTAATTGATTTCCACGCCGACACGTACCTTAGATGTCAGTGTTAGTTATAAATCGCTATTTCTACATTAGCATGATAGTGTCCTTAGCGTTGTATTAGCGCTTGTACACACGTGGCGTGTGACGAGCGCTAGTTTCGGGATTACGGGACTAATAGCGAGCTTACTGTGCTCGCCGGTTGTAAAATTTAATAATAACGAGCTTAAGGATAGAAGTTACGAAGAAAAAGTTTAATACAGCCATTTTCAAATGGTAAAGCCCTTTTACAGCATTCGTTTATCCATTGTAGAGCACTTGTGTATGGTATTATACATGATGGGACTGGGCTTCATACATATGTACTTTTTTTATTGCTTAGTTCTGTGGTCGAGCTCACAGCCGACCTGTGGTTAAGTCTTTACCGGATCCAAGAAACATCTACAACGTAAATGCCGCTACCCACCTAGAGACATGAGTTTTAAGGTCTCAATATAGTTAGAACGGCTGCTCTACCCTTCAAATCGAAATGCATTACTACTTCACGGCAGAGATAGGCGGGGTAGTGGTACATACCAGTGCAGACTCCTAAGATGTCCTTCCCACCTGTGAAGATCTACTGTATTAAACATAGCAGCCTTGTGCTGGGCGCCATACGCGCTACAATTGACAGCGTTGAAGTTCTAGGAAAAAGCAAATAAAATATGTATGTATAGGTCGGTAGAAAAACACTTAGGCGAAGCCACAATAACACAGCATTCGCATTCAGGTTAATATCTTAAACATTTTAAATTGAATGAAAAACACATTACCGGGTTTTTCGAATACAGCGTCGGAAATCCTCGTCGAGTTTTAAATAAAGCCAGCACCTCAATTGAACCGGATATTCTTTGGAATACCAGACCGTTTAACCGGATTATTCAAAACTCGTAGTGAATGTTTTGTTTTAAAGTAAATACTGTAGCTCGCGTTCCTGTTAGCTTTTTATTTATCTGGGCTTAAGTGATTTCGTTTTGACCTGTTTCTTGATTGTGCTTGTTTACCGGATAAAGGGTCTTGTGTTGTTTGATTTTTAAAGTTATTTAGAAAAAAAAAATCAGGCCGAGTTAACTTTTTTTGTTTTTATAAATATTGTGGTTTCAAAACCCGTCAAGCAATTTTAGCAGAGACCAAGATCAAAGTCTACTTACTCTTTATTTGTATCGGTTTATACGGGATATTTGTGACCGGATTGTTGTTGTATACAACAGTATTCAATAATGCAATTATATTAATCGACCCAAAAACTAAATAACATATTTACTAATTCTTAGGTAGAGAAAATTGTCATTACGTTAACCACACATACCAGACAAAAGTGAATCTAATGCTACATAGCCGTAGATGCTTAGATGGATTATTTATTATTTGTTACTAGATAGCGATTAATCAGTGGATTATTTATTATTTGTTACTAGAAAAAAAATGCTTAAAACTACCAACGATTTTGTCTCGTTCTTTACTGGTGGTAGGACCTTTTGTGAGTCCGCACAGGCAGGTACCACAACCCTGCCTATTCCTGCCGTAAAGCAGCAATGCGTTTCGGTTTGAAGGGTGGGACAGTCGTTGTAACTATACCTGAGACCTTAGAACTTATATCTCAAGGTAGGTGGCGGCATTTACGTTGTAGATGTCTATGGGCTCCAGTAACTATTTAACACAACGTGGGTTGTGAGCTCGTCCACTCATTTAAGCAATAAATAAAAATAAAAATAATTTAATTACTTGTTCACTAATTCTTAGATAGAGTCATTGCATTAGCCACACACACATACCATAGAAGGGTGAATCTAATGTTAAGAAACCATTCAACCAGCTATGTAGTATTATTTTCTATTTGTTACTAGAAAAGAAATACTTAAAGTACTAACGAGTTTGTCTCGATCCACTTGTTATTTAACTGGAGAGCTCAGGTATGCAGTACCATTTTGATTTATCTTCTCGGCAAAAAAAGATAGAACATCCCTTCGGTTTAGAAAACCAAAACCTACAAGCATCCAGTACTAACTACGCCACTTAGTTCTCAAGACATATCTTCAAATATTTCAGTTTTGCTACATTCCTCCATGACACTGGAAACACACACACCCAATAAAAATCTAGCGATACAGATAATGTAGCATTAGCCGTCAGTAAATGTTTTTGTGGCGAGGCTTAAAGAATGCCTATGTCCAGCAGTGGACTCCTGAGGACTGAAAGAAAAAAGATAGAAATATTTTTATTATGTCATTGTCCTGTTACTAACTTTCCAATTTCCAAAATCATCTCTATCCAAATATGGATTGGAATAGATGTTTTCAACTATAAGTCCAGCCAATGTACTTTAGTTATAGGTAAAATTTTTCTCATTTACTTTTTTTTATTGCTTAGGTGGGTGGACGAACTCACAGCCCACCTGGTGTTAAGTGGTTACTGGAGCCCATAGACATCTACAACGTAAATGTGCTACTCACCCTGAGATATAAGTTCTAAGGTCTCGAGTATAGTTACAGGGGCCGCCCCACCCTTAAAACCAGCTTCACGGCAGAAATAGGCGGGATAGTGGTACCTACCTGCGGGGTCTCACAAGAGGTCCTACCACCAGTAAATTTTCCATACATCGGTGGAGATAAAGTATTTTATTTTGCATTGTATTGATCGAATTGTAAATTCCCATTGTCCACAGAACACGCGTCAGCACTTGTCGGGGAAACAGCGCGTCTGCGATGCCGGATCGATGGCAAATCGTGCGGCGAGATGCACAGCATCAAATGGTACAAAGCTGACACCAGAGTCTACGTGTACTCTGCCTCGAAAGACTCCCCCATCAACCGTCCTGAAGGAGAAATGGTTAATAGGTAAGCTCTTTACATTCATGACGACCTAGTACTTTATTTTGGAGCATACTGACAGATCAACGTATTTTTGGAACGATGTTCCTTATGGGACGAAGCGGAGGGGTACCCTAACCGGGAAAAAACGTCCGTAACGTAAGATTTTTTTTTATTTAGTTCGTTATCAACAGATGTCGCTGCACGTAAATTCAATAATTCCTGAATCGCGGTGACGAGATGTTACACTGTTGATAGACGTTCTCGTTTTTGTCTTGCTAAATCATACTTACCTGGCGTAGGGCCATCGTAATGTCCACACCACGCTTGTGTACTAAGCTGGATGGTGGTATTTACGCAGTGATATTTACGAGCTCCGGTGGCCACTTCAAGCCTCTGGGTTATGGGCTCGTTTACTGTCTATAAAAACCAATAAAAATAGATAAAAACAAAAATTTGGAATCTTCAACACTGCTAATATTGTTAATGACATGTATCAGGGCCTAAATCTACTTACCCTTCCAGAAAAGCTGATAAAAAGCCCTTTTAAAGATTAATAATTCCCGTAATTTACATTTTCGTTGCTTATATCAAAGACGTTATCAGAAATATTAGATCGTGAAAATGATTTCGCCGAAAACATCCCACAGCAAACGATTTGAGAGTATTCTCATTAACCTCATTAAGTCTCCTAGGCTGTTATGATTTCCTGGTACAAGTTCTGGAAATATTCCGACCATTACATTTTCTCAGTTATTCCACAAAGTAAACCTTTAATTAACCAAAAGGCAAGCGGAGGGATAGAGAAAAAAAAATTATATTTCTCGTCATTTGAATAACTGACACATGTCTAAATATTTGCTACTATCGATAACTGTTTGAGTATATTAGGATAAGAATTGAAGTCGTCGTGGCCTAAAGGATAAGACGTCCGGTGCATTCGTATCGAGCGATGCACTGGTGTTCGAATCTCGCTGGCGGGTACCAATTTTTCTAATGAAATACGCACTCAACAAATGTTCACGATTGACTTCCACGGTGAAGGAATAACACCGTGCAATAAAAATCAAACCCGCAAAACTATAATTTGCGTAATTACTGGTGGTAGGACCTCTTGTGAGTCCGCACGGGTAGGTACCACCGCCCCGCCTATTTCTGCCGTGAAGCAGTAATGCGTTTCGGTTTGAAGGGTGGGGCAGCCGTTGTGACTATACTGAGACCTTCGAACTATATCTCAAGGTGTGTGGCGCATTTACGTTGTAGATGTCTATGGGCTCCAGTAACCACTTAACACCAGATGGGCTGTGAGCTCGTCCACACATCTAAGCAATAAAAAAATAAATAAAAAAAAAGAATCACTGATAGCATCGCGCCCCTGTTAAGATTCCTTGCGTTTGTATTTATAACAAATGCTAAATAGCTTAGATTCTATTGAATTATTATTTAACCAAACATGTAAGGGGACTTTCGCAGTTGTGATAAAAAATTGTTGGTAACGAAACGAAATGGATAATCAATTAGGGTATAAGATTAGGTAACCTATCGTGTCGAATATAGAACTTCAAATGACAGGACTTATTATGGATCTTGATAGGAAAACTCTATAGAACAGAAATGCTATCAAAATACCAGAATACAAATATTTCGAAGGTAGATGGACACTTAAATCGTAAAGCAGAGTTGCTGAATTGTCTTAAGGTTGTACGTGCAGCTTAAAGCTCATTCTAAGTTTTACCAGTCATTACACATCACAAAATTTACAGGTGTAATTTTGTTACAAAATGCCATTTTTGTGCCTTCAATCACTTAAAAATCCGCCGTCTTACTCAATAGGCCATAGTCGCATCAAAAATGATGAGTTCACTAAAATAAGTTAATTACCTAATTTGAACGAGAGCTTCCATCACAGTTCCAAAAAGCTCTTTGCCAATTTCCTTAATTAAAAAAAAAAAGTCTAATGAAAAGTAATTGGGCACAACGGGAATTTTCAAAGAAAAAATTATGAATTTTTTAAACGTAAAGTCAGGTTTTTAAGATAATATATATAATATAATAAAATATAGCATTTTATATTGTGATTAATTTTGATAATTTTAATTTGTGTATTATAGTTGGCATATCACTCTTTTAAGTTAAGATTTCTTCAAATACAAAACATGTTCGAGACTTCTTGGAGACCCTAATATTATACCAACGTATTACCTAGATGAATCTCTTACAGTAGTGGCTATAGAAAAAGGTAAGGGAGTCACAGAAATCGTTTTCTTACCGCACCGCGAACCTGAGGTCCTCAACCCTGGTTTAGTGTCCTATGGGATGGGGTGACGGTATTCTTAGACTAAGCACTATCCCACCCCAAGCTAGCACTCAATAAAGCGATATATCTCGGCAGAAATCGGACACTTGGATCCCAAAATTGTACCCTAACAAGTTGGGTAAAGAACTAAAATATAAAATCCCTACGCAAAAATAAATTTGGCGGCGATCGCTAAAGCTGCAAGCGAAATAAAACTATGGAATGTCGATACTTAACTTCATGTTGATCCGTTGTAATATCTATATAAATAAATATGATGATACCTTTCATGTTCAATTATGATGAAACTTAGAGCACCCATGTTTTTGGCACTCCAAGAAACATTTCTGTCATAGCAGCATCAATAAAAGCTAGATAAACCTAGTATAGTTTAAGATATCGATATTTTTCATACTCAGGTCACCAGCCCGGATTTTACTAGTCATGGATAAAAATTTAATAACATATTTAGTAGTGAAGAAGCGATCCAAGACGATAGCAATTAATCCGAATCGATATGTATTAAGGACCGGACCGGATCGGATCCGTCGACTGTAATAAGCTGGATCGGATTTATTAACAGACGATAATGGAATAGTGCGGAGCGTTTCCATCGCAAGCACGTCAACGAGTTTAATGACGTGACTATTTCTTGTGTACAAATTAAATAGTAGTGATAGACTCAGTTATTATTATAAAGTTGTTACAAACTAATTTATTTAGCGATTTAAACACAATACTACTTTTTTAAGTCAGCTAGCGAACGTCTGCACGAGGGCATTGACCCGAATGGACAGCTGTTCTTCAATTGATTTAAATTATTCGCTACTGATTTTATAAGTCCTGGTACCTGCAGAATCTCATCAGAAAACCTCACATCTGTCAAAATCATACCACAATTAATCAGGAGGAAGTGAAATTAACTTCTATAGTAGACTAATGACAGGTTAACGAACTTTAAAAGAATCTAAAAACAACCACAAATGTACAATTGGACATTAGTATTTCAATCATCCCTTTATAAAATGACACGTTATTTCCACCCATAATGCCAACCCTCTTTGTTGGCATCAAGACCTTAAATATTTTAACACATCAACCCTACTAACTATCCTACTCTGTGATTTGAACTATAAATATATAATTGGCAGAGGTCTGGGTGGGGAAATCGACACTTTAAATAAATTGCTTTTTTTAATTGGCTCATAGGCGCAGGCCTGTGTGCCCGTTTAGCAATGTGTAGTCTCTGATGTTTAGGAACGTCTGCATTACCATGGGCATAGCTGAGCGCCTGTCTATAGATCTTTTCAAACTCGGTCGTAGAAGGAGTTCATTACTTATTCACAGTTTTCTGAATGCACGGAAATCAGAAGGTTTCTTATTAAAATTTTTTTTGTGGGTAGATTCATCTTTCTCTCGGTGAAATCGTAAGGTTTTTATTGAACGTGAAAATTGAAAATTCGAAAATGTATGAAGTATTTAACTGAACTCTATAATCTATCTTTAACTAGCGGACCCTGCATACTTCGTAGTGCCTCAATCGATAAATAAAATACCTAAGCTTTTGTATAAAATAAACTTAAAACAAACAAAAGGAATTCGTCCGACGGGGGACAAATCAAAGGAAAAACAAAATTGTTAATTTTATTTAATTCCGAGCATTTTCATATTTATCTACCTTTTAAACCTTCACTGGACTTCTACAAATAATTCAAGACCAAAATTAGTCAAATCGGTCCAGCCGTTCTCGAGTTTTAGCGAGACTAACGAACAGCAATTCATTTTTATATATCTATAGGTAGATTAGGTAAAGATATGAGAACTCTTTCTTTTCTCCTCTGACCGTGGATCTCATTCATGAGCACGCTGTAGCTGTAGCTGTAATAGAATAGAAGATATTTGACAAATTTCTGAATCGCGCTAGTGATATTCTCAAGAGCAAGTTCGAGCAATAGAATTCAGACGTGGTTCTCGGGAACAACAACACTCGCTCGCTGGAAGGTTTTCCCTTGGCCGTTCCCTCGAACTCATAACAAGTACATTTAAACTTCAAAAAATACGTGCAGTGTGCATTACGAAAACTCTTTAGGGTTAAAATTTCGTAGCTGTCTCGTCGATTTGGACTCTACATTTGATCAGAGGGGCTCTATTTTTTTATTGCTTATACGGTAGGACGAGCTCACAATCAACCTGTTAAGTGATTACCGGAGCCCATAGCATCTACGACGTAAATTCCGCCACCTTAAGATATGAGTTCTAAGGTCTCAATTTTTGCAGTACAACGTATTATTGCTTCACGGCAGAAATAAGCAGGGTAGTGGTACCTATCCATGCGGACTCACAAGACGTCCTACCACTAGTAAAATTAGTAGTTATTTTAAAGTTCTGGTTAGTATTTGATTTGTCTCGGACGCGCAGCATTTAAAAGTGTGCCATAATTGTACACGCAGCCCTTAAAAACGAGTTAAGCATAACGTAGCACTAATGTACTCAGTTCATGATATAACAGTTTTCATTAATTAGACCCCATACCGGCATTCGGTTTATTGCAGTAATTTCTAGTTAAAATTGTGTTTCGAAACGGTTAGTGCTACTTCTGATCACGCAGCTGGAAGACTACAGAAGGCTCGTGCCTATTGAGGCTTCATAGCACTTCGCATAGAACACCCAATGGTACAGAATATAGAGACAACCAGTTAACGATCATAAAATATGTTTGTCTTTTAAATCG